CCACATGTTTTGATCTATAGCGTTTGAAGTTTTATCATGTTTAAACTTTTATTTATGTCCAATGTGACATGATTATAACTGTTACTGGCTGTTTGGAGGATTGTTTTATAATTTCTCAGGTTTGATAATTTTCTAGATACCTTTTTGTTACTTATTTCTACCTTTCGGGGAATGCAGTACTGGGGCTTGAACTCAGGTCTTTGCAGTTGCTGAGCAGGCACTCTGCCATTTGAGTCACACCTCCAGCTTGATTTCTACCTTATTTGCATAGTGATTACTGAATATTCTCAGTATGGTTTCACTCTTAAAATTATTTGAGCTTTACCTTATTCTTAACAAATGTTTTTATGTATGCTCAAAAAGAATGTACGTTCTGTTTTTTTGAGTTTTAGTACTTGTGGTGAAGTTTGTTACTTATGTTCACATCTTTTTTTATTTTGGTTTATTTTGTCCATTGTGAAGAAATCTGTATTAAAATTTCGCAGCGTAGTGTAGATTCATCTCTTTTGTGTTGTCATTGTTTACATTTTTAAAAGTCTGACAAGTATATATATTTATGGATAGGCTAATTAGTTTGTCACCTAAAATACTTCTTTGTGATGAAAACATTTAAAATTTACTCTCTTAGCTATACCTTATTACCAGTTATGGCTCCTGTGCTGTATAATAGCTGACTAAAACTTAATTCCTCTTGTCTAACTGAAACTTTATACCCTATCACTGTCTTCTTCCCTTTCCTCATTTCCCACCCTCAGTATCTAGTAACCACTGTTCTCACTTTGTGAGCCTGACTTTTTTTATTACAAATACAAGTGAGATCATACATTACGCATATAAATACTGTTTCTTAATGCATATTCATTTACTGTAAACCTTTTATCATTGTGAAATGTTCCCTTTTGTCTCTAGTAATGTTTTGCCTCAAAATTTACTTTAGGTGGGATCTTTTCTCTGGATTCCTGTATGAAGAGCAGGAAATGTTTCTCCCTTTTTTCCTCCTATTTCTTCCCACTTTTATCCTGTTATACTAAATTCCTTTCCTATTAAACTTTACTGTTACTTTGCAATAAAAAAAATTACTTTACCTGATATCAACACAGCTATATCAGCTTTGTTCTGATTTGTGTTTGTTTGATGTATATTTTCTAGCTTTTTTATATTTTCTCTTCTGTTAACTTGGCAACTGTACACTTTCTTTTACTATACTTTTTTCTAATCAGAGATTGCAGGATTTTTCCATCTCCTGCTATAACTCCATGGATAGTGTGAGGCACATACAGCACTTTGATCACTTCATTTTCCCTTCTCCAGGCATATATTCTCTGTTGGTATGATATATTTTCTTCTTCAAATATTGTAAGCTTCAGTGGATACTAATATTAGTATATTGTACACTCAAAATTCATGTGGATTTATCTACGAATTTCCTGTTTTCATCAATTTTCTTTCCTACATCTGGAAGCTTCCATCTGCAGTCAATTTTCTTCTCCCAGTTGACTTCAGTAAGGCTGGTGGAAAGAAATTTTCTCTATTTTAATTTCTCTGAAAATGACTTTATTTTGCCCCCTTTTTGAAGACTATTTGGCTGGATATAGGACTGTAGCTTTTGAAAATATTGCTCCATTATCTTCTGTCTTCCAGTTTCTGTTGAGGTGTCAGCCATCAGGTTGATTTTGCTTCTCTTCAAGTGATCTTTCAATTTTTTTCCTTGACTGATTTTAGACTAAATCTTTGCCTTTCATTTTTTTTCCGACAGTATGGTTTTGCTTTCTTTATCTTCCCAGGAGTTCTTATGGTTCCATAATGTATAACTTTATGTTCTTGTTAGTTTTGGGAAATTCTTGACCAACATCTTACTTCTGTTTTTGGCTTTCTGGTGGTTTTTTTTTTGGTTTTTTTCAGGTACTTGGGAACTCAGGGCCTTACACTTGCTAGACAGGCATTCTGCCACTTGATCCCTGCCCCCAACCATTTTTGGCTTTAGTTATTTTTCAAGTAGGGTCTCACATTTTTGTCCAGGATTGGCCTATGATCCTCTTAACTAAAGTGTCCTGAGTAACTGAGATTACAGGCATGAGCCAGTGGGGCTGACCCTGCTTCTGTGTCTTAAATGCGCTCCTCTCTTTCTATGACTGATTGTTCAGATGTCATCTTCTCACTGCATATCCCATGTTCCTACCTCTTCTCTCCTGGCTTCACCCTTTGTACCCCCAGGCTTCACTTTCTCCAGACCAGTCTTGAATTTCCTTTTCCTTTATGGTGGGTGAGTCTGGGATTTGAACTTAGGACTTCATGCTTGCAAAGTGGGTGCTCTACCTCCTGAGTCAGCCTCCAGTCCATTTTGCTCTGGTTATTTTGGAGTTGGGGACTTGTCAACTATTTGCTTGAGCTGGGCTTGAACTGTGGTCTACCCAATCTCAGCCTCCCAAGTAGCTAGGGTTGTAGGCATGAGCCACCAGTGTCTGGCTTTTGAATTTCCTTTCTTTTTTTTTTTTTTATTTGTTGTGCTTGCTGGGTGGGGGTACATTGTGACATTTTTTAAAAGTTCTTACAATATGTCATACTTGAATGTACCCCTTCCATTATTCTCCTTCATACCCCACTTCCCCCCACAATGGAAAAAACGGTATCTCTTGAATTTTCTAGTCTCTTTTTAGCTATCTGAAATCTGTTCTTGAGCTCATCTATTGGCTCTGTAATTTATATATTTAAGTTTTAGAATTTTCATTTCATTCTTTGTTAGTTTTTCCTTTGCTGAAATTTAGTCTTTTTTTTTCTGTATAATGAGTCCCTAAAATGGACTGAATCTAGCCAGTGAACTATATGACCTGTGAGCCAAGAATGACTTTGATGTTTTAAAAGGGTCTTATATGTGTGTGTGTGTGTGTGTGTGTGTGTGTGTGTGTGTGTGTGTGTGTGTGTGTATATATATATACACATTTTTATTAGGATATAGTCATTATACTGTGGGGGGGTTTGAAGTGACAATTCCAATCAGACTTATATTGTATATTACTTACATTTCCCCCATCGTCTCTTCCCCTCAGCCCCCTCCCCATCCCACCCAAGGCAACTGAAGAGGTTTTTTTAGTTCTGTTTCATGTAAGTATATGAAGTCCATCAACCATATATTACCGTCACCTTAATCTCCTTCCTTCACTCTTCCCCTCCCACTAGTATCCCCCCACACACACACTGTGCCTGTTTTACAGTCCTGGTTTTCATTATTAATATTTAAGTTGTCTCAGTGTATGCCCACTGTGGGTGTGCTTTACTTTGGTCTGTTTAATTCCTTTGATTGCTTTCCCTTATCCCCTTTTTCCTTCCCGCCCCCCCACCCCGTTTTTCAGCACCTTTTACCTTCACATCTCATGAAGGTAGATAGTACTGATACTCTATCATTCTCTTTTCCTTTCCCTCTTTCCCCAAGTTCCATAGAGTAGCTCCACTGTTACAAACATGTTCTACATCTGATTTTGTCTAGGATCATGCTTGTTTTTTTGTATGTTTATCTTTGGATGTATCGTCCATGTATGAGAGAAAACATGCAGCTTTTGTGTTTCTGATCCTGACTAACTTCACTTAATATGATGTCCTCCAGTTGCATCCATTTGCCCTCAAACCACATGTCAATATTCCCTGTGGCTGAGTAATACTCCATTGTGTATATATACCACAATTTCTTGATCCATTCATCAGTTGTAAGGTATTTGGGTTATTGCCAGAGCTTGGCTATTGTGAATAGTGGTGTGATGAACATCAGTGTACAGATGTCTCTACTGTATCCTGTCTTACTTTTTGGGAGGTAGATGCCCAAGAGCAGTATCACTGGATCATACGGCAGTTCTGTCTCTAGTATGAAGGAATCTCCATACTGCTTTCCATAGTGGTTGCACTAATTTGCATTTCCACCAGCAGTGTATAAGGGTTCCTGTTTCCCACAGCCTTGCCAGCATTTGTTGTTGTTATTACCCTCAATTGTGGCCATTCTAACTGGGGCGAGATGAAATCTAAGTGTTGTTTTGTATCTCTTTTATGACCAGAGAAGTCAAACACTTCTGCATGTATTTATGGGCCATTTGTACTCTTCCTTTGAGAATTTCCTGTTTAATTCACGTGCCCATTTCTTCAATGGGGTGTTGATTCTTTGGGGGCTGAGTTTTTTGAGTTCCCTATAGATTCTGGATATTAGTGCCTTATTAGATGAGTAGCTGGCAAGGATTTTCTCCCATTCTGTGGGCTGTCTGTTGAGTCTGGTGACTATTTCCTTTGCCATGCAGAAGCTCTTAAGTTTAATGCAGTACCATTAAAAGGGTTGTTTTTTGTCTTTTTAAAAAGGCAAACGTATGTAACAGTAGTTGTGTTTGCTTCTAACAGATGACTATACACACTGGTAATCCTGTGTGACCTTGATGATTGTAAAATTCGTGTCAGTTTGCTTTTGGGTTATACTTAATTCCTAGAGTATAATTTATTTTCCAGGGCCCAAGTCAAAAGATGGTACTTTCATGCTGAGCTTTAGAGTTGAACTTTAGTCCCTTGAGCCAGTGACTTTCAAAAGTGCTTCTCACCCTCCTGAGCGCTTTAGGAGTCAGAAAATATTCTTGGGAGTAAAGCATCCTCAAAGACTAGATGGGTATGTGTTTAATAGCATTCCTACCTTTTACAATGGAAGCAGCTGATATTTTTATTTAGGGAAACAGGAGCCAAGTCTCTCCTAAAGTGCTGTTAGTAATGGCAGTCTCTTTGGTAAACTTCAGTGAGCTTACTACTGTTAGGATTGTCTAATAGTTTATAGTCAGAGTTATTTGGTTCTTACTATTTCAAAAGATTTTTGCTAAGAATGGAAAATTTAGATTAAAAAGGATTTCTAAACTTTTCTATGCCTATTATATATACAGTTGTGTATATAAAACAAAATGTGCTGCAAAAGTTACACTCTGTATTTAAAAGGAAAAGTCTGACATTTAAAATAACTCAGGTTATATTTTCTTCTTCAGCTTCCAGCTGATCTTACAAAGATGCACCTCACAGACAACCCTCACCCGCAGGTGACTCACGTGTCCTCTAGTCAGTCTGGTTGTAGCATTGCCAGTGATTCTGGGAGCAGCAGTTTGTCTGATATCTATCAGGTAATAATTTAGGTTATGTGCTGTGCAAACTACTTTTCTTATGCTGCAGAATGCCTTGTGCCTATGCTTTGGATGATCATGTATCTTTAAATTAGAATGTGAAATTCAGACATAAGGTCTGGGAAAGTGTGCTTTACATACTGTTTCAAATTTACAATTCTAATTAAAGAGGTGATCTGTCTTTTAAGAAGAATTCATTACAGTCTGGCAGTGTATGATTATAGTATTCTCTTGTATTTCTTTTATGCAGGTGCATCCATATTAATCTAAAATGCTTGCTTTGGTTCAAAAAGGTTTTGAAACAACTGAGCTTAAATTTACAAAAAGACTGATCTTAATTATAATTGTTTAAGTCTTTCGTATGTAGAAGTCATGAAAAAAACTATAGTTGCTTTTGTGTTTTAAAGTGTTATATTGTGTAACACGAATTAAATAGAAAAGTAATATATTTATGGACTTTTCCATTTTTAAAAACCCCAGTGGAGCCTGTTACAAACCTAATGAGATTTTCAGTGATCTTTGTAATACAAAGAGGACTCTGGGAGCAAACATACACTGAGAGAATCCTCATGCCATCCTACTGAGGTTGAACCCAAATTAGGTTCAGACCAGTGCAGTAAGTGTTTCATGATGCTGATGGTGGAATTTCTGTGATGTCTTCTTTACTCAATTTATTTTTTATTGCAACTCAAAATGGCTTTAGGGTTTTTTTTTGCTTTTTTTTTTTCTCGTCTTCTTTAATCATTTTTACATTTACTTACATGTGTATACATTGTGCCACCTTCCCTCCCCCCCACTTTTTTTTTGTTGTTGTTTGGTTTTTTTGGTACTGGGGTTTGAACTCAGGTGTTCACAGTTGCTAGACAGGTGGTCTGCTACTTGAGCCAAGCCTCCAGTCCAGTGCCTCTTTTTGAGGTAAAATGTTTGACACAGTTCCGGAGGTATGATAATTTTTGTCTTGAACCCCAGTGACAGGTTTTTGTAAGATTATGGGTGTAGAACATAAAACATAACTAGAGGGTGTGTGGTAGTGATGGTTGGTTTATTCAGGAATTCATATTTACTTTGAATTTCAGGGATGACTAGAAGGAAGTTTAATGTGAGCCACATGCTTAATTTAAAATTTTCAGAGGTGTGGCTCAAGTGCCAAAACGCTTGTTACGGCCCAGAGTTCAACCCCAGGACTTTCTCCCTTCCTCCCCCTCAGCAAAAAAAAAAAAGTGTAAAATTTTCTATTAACCATATAAAAGGAAACAGGTAAAACTGATTTTAGTAATAAATTTTATTTAGTGCAGTATATACAGATATTTCCATTTGAACATGCAATCGATGTGTTAACATTATGAATGATTTAGTTTGCATCCTCACAGCGCATCTCAGTTCAGGCACTTTTCAAATATCTAATACCCATCTGGCTAGTGGCCACCATATAGTTCAGCTCTGTAGGAACAGATTCATTCTTTTCTGAGGAAAACATTTTAGGCTCGGTTTCTACTGAGTTACCCAGTTTGTGATATTTTAGGAAAATTAGCCTTCCTCTGAAAGGAAATTTGTAGGGCAATGCAAGATGGAGAGGGGGGGAAAAAAGCTTGCATTTTTCAGTTTATGTGTGACTTTTCTCAAAAAGGTCATTGTTGTAGCATCTATATAGTAGACAGAATGAGGAATTTAAAGAAGATAAAGAAAAGGGAACTCAAAATAATGCAGTGGCTCTGGGGCCACTTAATGTGTTTGTGTGGCTATTGGGGTCAACGCATTTTACTGCCCCCCAGTGAAGTATCTTGTGGAAGAAGTAAGAGTTCTGACATACCAAAGTACAGCTGTCTTCTGGTTTCTGTGTTTTTCCGGGAGAGCGGAACCCTGGGAAGAATCAATTGCAAATCGATCAAGTTAAGGGATGTGGCTATAGATTTCTCTCAGGATAAGTGGAAATGTATAGAACTTGCTAAGAGACACTGCACGCAGTGTCAAACTATAGGAACCTAGCTTCCCTGACTTCCATTTCTGAGCTAGAGATGGTTATCTTTTTGGAGCAAAGAGCAGAGTCCTGGATAGTGTGAGAGAAGGACAAAAAGGATAGTAGTGTACATATTGAGATTCAAGGTGAGTTGTAAAGATCAGTGCTTCATTTTGAACTTGAGGATGGGCTGTATACAGCTACAAAGATGCTGGGAGACCTCTTGAGCACTACACTGGATTAGCATCTACAGATTGCCCACTCCTAGCTGGCCACCCTGAGGCAGGGGCTGGAGTATGCCCACAAGTGTTGGGTGAAGGTTTTTTATTGCAGGATGATGCCTTCCGTTTGACTGCCCTGATTCCAACCTTCCATGTGTCTTCCTTCCTCAGTAACACTCAGCCACAATTCATTCTGCCTTATAAGAGATTCATTTTAAGATTGGACAAACTGTATGTATCTTGCCAGCTGTCTTCCATATTATAAGATGTTGAAGAAGACATGTTTTATACCCCGGAAACCTGAAAGCTACTATTGACCGTCCTCCCTCACTCAACACAATCAGCACCAAGCAATCTCAGTTCTGCCTTCTAAACTATTAATTGTATGTGTGCATGTTTCATGTTAACTGTATAGTTTATGCTTACTATAAAAGGCATCTTCTTTAGTACAGACATAGAACATTTCCATTACCTCAGAAAGTCCTCTATCCTTCTTTGTAGTCATTTTCCTCTTCTGATCCCTACCCTCCACCCCATGACCACCCAAATCCTTTTTTTTACCTTTACAATTTTGCATTTTCCAGAAGGTCATATAGAATCCATATTTTTTATTTGTTTGTTTGTTTGGTAGTGGTACTGTGGTTTGAACTCAAGGCCTCACACTTGCTAGGCAGGCATTCTACCACCTGAGCCACTCTGCTAGCCGAAATTATTCTTTTTTATTTATTTATTCATTTATCTATTTGTGGAAGTGGGGATTTGAACTCAAGGCTTCACACTGCAAAGCAAGCCATACCTCCAGTCCAGAGTCCATACATTTTTTGAAAAATATAATGCATTGAGCCTATGGTGGCCCAAACTTGAAATCCCAAGTACTCAAGGGGCAGAGAACAAGAAAATCACATTTTGTGGCCAGCCCAGGCAAAAAGTTAGCAAGACTCCATCTCGGTAAATAAGCTAGGCATGGTGGTGAACATCTCTATAATCCCATTTATGTGGTAGACTGTAGGTAGGAAAATTGTAGTCTGAGGCTTGCTCCAGACAAAAACAGGAGACCCTCTCTGAAAAATAACTAATACAAAAAGGGTCTGAAAGTACGGCTTAAAGTGGTAGAATACCTGCCTAGCAAGCATAAGGACCTGAATTCAGACCCCAGCACTGCAAAAGAAAGGATGGAGGGTGTGGTGGCTTAAGCCTATAATCCCAGCTACACAGGAGCATAGGAGGCAGAATTTGGTAGGCCAACCTGGACAAAAAGTTAGCAACACCCTATCTCAAAAAAAGTGCATGTTGGCATGTGCCCAGGGATGTGGGAGACATGAAGTAGAGGGACCACAGTCCAGGCTGCCCTGGGCAAAACATGCAAGAGCCTACCTAAAGCAAGAGGGCTGTGAGAATGGTTCAAGTTTGGCAGTGTGCCTGCCTAGCAAAATGAAGCCCTGACTTCAAATCCCAGTACAAGAAAGAAGGGAGAAAAGTTAAATGAATAATTGCTAAAGGGTAAAAGGAATTAGAAGAGATTATAATAGAACAATAAAATACACCTCCAAAATGCAAGATTTCTAGACTAGATCTGCAGTTTACAAAAAAAAAATCCATGGATAAGGTTAAGAATACCGTTCATCTGAACTTTGTGGCTGGGGAGGGGTTCCAGCCAGATCTTCAAGACTGAGACAAAGGGAAGAGAGGAGTTCAGTATCAGTACTGGACCCCTGGGTCTTTCCCTTGACTCCCCTGGAGGAGTCCTGGTTAAAGGTGTGATCACACACTTTGGTTACAGATGAATGCTGCTGATATCTAAGCCAGCAACGTTTGAATTGTCTGGTTATGGTTATGCATATTTCAACATTTGATATATTTTAAATGTGAGCACCTACCTTATAAAAGTATAATCAAAGTCATATGCAAAAAATGATGCAAGTAATCTTAATTTGGAGAGTTGAAGAGATAAGAAATATATACTAACAGGAAAAATCTATACCATCTTATATAGCTAAATGTATGGCTAGATACCTACACATGGCCTTCTTTAGAGTTTTTCATTTCTTACAGTTTAAATATAAAAGTCTTTGCCAGGCGCCGGTGGCTCATGCCTGTAATCCTAGCTACTCAAGACGCAAGAGGTCAGGAAGATCGCAGTTTGAAGCCAGCCTGGACAAATAGTGCATGAGACCCTATCTCAATAAAACTCAACACAAAAAAAGGGCTGGCGGAGTGGCTAAAGGTGTAGGCCCTGAGTTCAAACCCCAGTATCGCAAAAAAAAAAATTTTTTTTTAAATAAATAAAAACCCTCAAAGGCCAGGCATAGTGTCTCACTCACTCTAATCCCAGCTACTTAGGAGGTGAGATGAGGAGGATCACCCTTGAAGACTAACCCTGGCAAAAAGTTAGCGAGACCTTGTTATAGCAGACAAGCTTGGTGGTGATGGTGTGTACCTCTAATGGCAGCTATGTGGGAGGGGGAGATTGGGAGGTATTACTGTCCGAGGCTGGCCTCAGGCAAAAAGGGCAAAAACAAAACAAAAAAACCCACCAAAGCGAAAAGGACTTATGTGGTAGAACACTTGCCTAGCAAGTTCAAAGCCCTGAGTTCAAACCCCAGTACTGGAAAAAAAAAAAAAAAAGATAAATAAGATAAAAAGCCCTTGGACTGGATTCAAAATATAGTATTTAGCACAGTCTGGAAAAAAAATGGAAGCAGTGATTCCAGTGTGAATATGTTTACTCAGATTAGTGTAAAATTTAGCTACGAATATTCATTAAGATGTTAGAAAGTTCTTAGAGTATTTATGCATATTCAGAGAGTACTCAAGAACAAGGAGTGCTTCTTCCTAGATTCTGTTTTCTGTTTATTTCAATCTTCTCCAGGAGCTGGAAGATTGTGAAATACTGACTCTTAAATAAAAGCATTTGCCTTTTTATTACCTCATTCTTTCAGCCCAAGTCACACATACATTCCCTCCCTATCTTGTAGTTACTATGTGGGAAAGAAACATGTTCCTAAAACTCCTGTCTGACAGCCAGTTCTAGTTATAAGTTCTAGTACCAGTCTCACCAGTCACTGGTGTGCTTTTCTGTCATCTCAGCTAGCCTTGCCCTGCCAAACGTTCACTACCACCTGTCTTTATGTTGAGAATATTATCTGTGTCCTGACACAGCAGGGCTTTTTGTGGCTCTTACCACTTTTCTACTATGCTTTTTTCATAGTGACTTATAAACTTGACATTTTTCATCATCAGATTAAATTTCTGGAGATCAGAGTTTTACTAACACATCATGCTGTGTCAAGCACAGTGTTGGCACTCAGGAAGTAATCTAGATTTTTTTTTAAGTTAAATTGTATTTGAGGGTAGAATCTAATACTGGTTCCTGGGGAAATGCAGAAAATATCTACTAACTAAACTTCATTATACAAGGCAGTCTCTATTCTTTAGTCTGCCTGCCTCACATTAAAAATGTGAGGTTCTGGCTTAATACTTGCCCTAAATTTGAAAATGTGGTTTTCTAAGTTTGTATAACTTTTAGTTCTAATCTATGGTTCCTCTCATTGTAGTTTCATGTCTGTCTGGCTACAAACAGGAAAAGGATATCCTCTGATGGTTTATTTGGGGAAGGCCAAGTCATCAGAAAATCACCTCAGACTGTCTGCCTCACCAAATTGTATTTACACATATATAGAGATTCGTTCATGTGACAGGAAAGGAAAACACACAGGAAGTTTCATAGTTGTCTTACTAGTTCTGTCACCAATATACTTTCTCCCCTGAGCTTAATTCATTTACCATCATCTTGCTGAGGGCTTACTGTATCCCATGTGTTGTTAAAAGGCCAGGGCTTAATCTGCTGCATACCCTTTCTTAATGAATATGGAAAATATTTTGATTCACATTTTTATACCAGCTTTTAATATTATCATACTAATAACCAAGGTTTCTGCTATTTTTTTTTTCTGGTTTTTCCCCTCTTTTACTTCAGTTTGGTTTGTCTTTATTGCCCTTTCTTTAAGTTTACTCATCTTCTTTATTAAGCTTCCCCATTTTTTCTTTATAAGAGTATGCTAGCTAGCTGTGAAATAGAACCAATAATGTATGACCCTGTCTTGGTCTATTCAGGCTACCATAACAAAATACCATAGACTGGGTAGCTTATAAGTGGTAGAAAATTATTTCTTGCAGTTTTGGAAGCTGGGAAGTCAAAGATCAAGGTGCTAGCAGATTCTTGAGGGTTCTCATAACCTAATTACTTTCTCATGATCTGATCACTTCCCAATGACTCCACTTCCTAATACCATTACTCTGGAGATTAGGATTTTGATATAAGAATTTTAGGGGATGAGGGTAAAGCACTCACCTAGTAAATGTATGGCCTTGAGTATGATCCCCAGCACTGCAAAAAAAGGGAAGAACAAAAAAACTTAAGGTGACACAGACATCCAGACCATAGTAGATTGATAAAAGCTACTTTGTCTAATCTTAAAGATCTCAAATTGTGTGTTCAGTCTGGATTGCTAACCAGCTACTATTTAAAGCTGTCCAGAAATCCAGAGGAAGTGTTGTCATGCATTTATAAAACAAAAATACTTTCAGTTGCTGGTGTCAGAGCCCTAACTTGAATTAATAGAAGCCAAAAAGAATCTATTGACGCACAGAAAAAGCATAAGCAGCTCTGGCCACAGAGAGCCTGGATGCTTGCTGGTGTGCCTACCCCTGCCTGTCTTTCAAGTTTGGCTGTCTGTGACTTGCTCGGTTTCTTCCCTTTCTTTCTCTGTGACCATCTCTGTCACAGATGTTCTTTGATCAGTGCATGACATTCTCTTTCTTTCTCTGTTTTGCATGCTTTATTTCTATTGCTTTACTGGTATTTGCCTTTCTGTCCCTTTCCATTTCTGCCTCTCTTGTTCATTGTCTCCTCCCCTTCTCTTTGTATCCATTCTATTTTTCTCCCACGACAGAAAAGCATTTCCACATGGTATAAACTATCTGCCCTGATTGTCTTCCAAGTCAGTAATCAGAGAAGAAAGGACACACTAACTCCAGTTATAAAAATCCAGAGAAAAATCCCTTCCTACCTTAGATTACATAGCTAGGGTACAGGGCACTGTTTCCCCTGGAATCTCTGGGTTTAAGATGGAGAAAAGCAGCAGTCTCCAAAAGAAGATAGAGCCTCTTTTAGTATTCACAACAGTAGATGACAAATATTTGGATGAAGCCCCTATCATCTTTACTAATACTCATATTTAGCATTGTGAAATTCCTGAGTGTTTATTTCTGTAACTGCTTTAATATTCATATTTTTCCATTTACAATGTGAATCTAATATATAATATTCAGAAATATTACCTAATACCTATTTTAAGACAATTTTATTTCAAACAGACACATTTATTATTTTCTGTGATTGACATTTTAATTTATAGTTTTTAAAAATCTACTAATTCTTTTAAAGATGTCTGGCACGAGTATGTGTCCAAAATTGTAGTTTTTAAGTCTGTGTTCATTTTGAAGATTACTTAGAATAATCTCAGTTTTGCACATGGTAAGATCCAACAATAAGGTATTGGGAAGTGATGGGTATTTGTTCAGTCCTTTGTGCTGGGTCTGTTGTAGTACTTCTCAGTACTATGCTATCATTTTTTAAACTTCTATTTTTAATTTACCTGATTACCTACCCTACTAGACTGTTTTAAGTCTCTATGATGAAAGAATAATGTCTTTCTTACAATACCCAGCACAGAGTAATGGGTCTTCATAAACTGGTTGTTATTATACTTTCTCTTTCTTACACTTCATATTTTAGAATGCTTTGTACTTTTAAGAAGCATTAACATATAAATGTACTTTGGAAACAGTTTTGTTTGTTTGTTTTGTTTGTTTGTTTGCAGTACTGGGGCTTGAACTCAAGGCCTATACCTTGAGCCACTCCACCAGCCCTTTTTTTGTGATGGGTTTTTTTTCAAGATAGGGTCTTGCAAACTGTTTGCTCAGGCTGGCTTTAAAGCTTGATCCTCCTGATCTCTGCCTCCTGAGTAGCTAGGATTACAGGCATGAGCCACTGGCACCCAGTTTGGAAACAGTTATTAATATGTCTAGTGGTGATTTGTTTCCTAACCATTTTATACTCGCCAGCTCATACTTATCATCTAGATGTCATAATGTGAAAATATGAGCCTATATTTTGGGCATTATATAAATAATGTATTTGTATAATAATGTAATTGTATAAATAACTATAATTTCTTTGGGGTTAGTTTGTTTTTGTTTTTGTTTTTTGGTTTGGTTTTTTTGTGGCACTGGAGTTTGAACTCAGGGCCTCATGGTTGCTAGGCAGGCACTCTTACTGCTTGAGCCACTCCAGCAGCCCTTCATTGTTTTCTTAATACAGCAGTGTTGCCTACTGTTTTTATAATATTTGGAAGGGGCTAGTTTGGGATAATTCAAGCTGTGACATACAACATCTTTTACATGAAATGGTAGTGATTGAGATTTCTTTCTGTAGGCTACAGAGAGTGAGGTAGGAGATGTAGATTTAACACGTCTTCCAGAGGGAACTGTTGATTCTGAGGATGAAGAAGAGGAAGAGGAAGAGATTGATCGAACAGATCCATTGCAGGGGCGAGATCTGGTTCGAGAATGTCTTGAAAAAGAACCAGCAGACAAAACTGATGATGACATTGGTAAGAAATAAGTCTGTTCATATAAGAATTTGTAACAATTTTTATATAGTTACCTGTTGCTCCTTAACGAATTATGCAAAAACATAATGGCTTTAAAACAACTTAGATTTATTATTCTGTAGTTTTTGTGGGTCAGGAATTCAAGAGCACTTAGCTGGATAGTTCTGGTTCAGTATCTCTTCTGAGGGGATGGTTAGAATGTCCACAGAGGCTGTAATTTGTACAAGACCTCAGTTCCTCATCCTATAGGGCCCTTCATTGCCTGCTTCCATGCCTTACTACATGGCAGTAGACTTCCCCCAAGGCAGGTACTCCAAGGGAGAATTAAGACAGAAGCCACGATGTCTTTTATGATTTGACCTCAGGATGACACATCATCACTCTGTCAAACTCTGTTACACCAAGCAACCCTGATACAATATTTGGGAGAGGACTGTACAAGGATATGAATATCAGGAGGCCTGGATCATTGAGGCTGCCACAGTTCATAAAATAAAAACTTTGATTGCACTAAACTGATTCCCCTTCATTCATGTCCATAAGATATTTAAAACATAGTGCAGCAATGTCCTGTGATATTGATGTTACCTTCTAGTCATTTCTATCAATGCTTCTAGCTAACTGCTTATGTGTGTTTCTCCCATATATATATTTATATATATATCTTTATCATTCATGTATCTATTTCAGAGAATGGCCTAAGGAACCCATAGACAATTACTAGTTAAAGACAATTACCTAGTTGATTTGACAAATCTCCAGGTAGAATTCACATTTATTATTCACTAATTTAATTATGTACTGACATTTATTAATAGCATTTAAAAAAAGAAAAACAAAACTCTAGCCTGGTAATATTAGACAGAAGGCTTTTTCACTAATCTATTAGTTCAAAGGATATCACTAAACTTCACCACTATAGATGGGCATCTCAAACTAGGCAAATTAGATGAACTGTCCAGCTTTATCTGAACCTGTATAGTTTCTTACCTCTGTCTTGTGAATTCTGCTATCTTCCAACATGCCCATATTTATATGTGAGTCTGACTATATATGTAAACTAAATGATTTTTTTAAATCAATAGTCATGTCATATCTGGGTTTCTCTTCTTTAGTAGCATAAATTCATAAGTTGGTTAGCAAATTGGGTATTGTGGATTTCATAGCATGTTTAAGGTATCCTTTCTGGTCTTCATACTAATATTTCTGTTTCTTATAGAACAGTTACTTGAGTTTATGCACCAGCTCCCTGCTTTTGCGAACATGACTATGTCTGTAAGGAGAGAGCTCTGCTCAGTGATGATTTTTGAAGTGGTGGAACAGGCTGGAGCTGTTATTCTGGAAGATGGGCAAGAGGTAGGTTAGCAAATAACACATATTATTCAATATCAATACCAATGTTTACTAATTTTACTTTAGAAGAATTAATTTCCATAAGTTTATATAAATCCTGACTTTTGAATTTTAAACTGTTTTAAATGAATACAGAGTTTGGGATAGTTATAATTACTGAAGAGATACATTTTTTATTTTGCTTTGCTGTGTTCAAAGTTAACATACAATTATCTGTTTTAAAAGATTCTTAAAACCTTTGTTTTTCTCTATAGCTTGACTCATGGTATGTTATTTTAAACGGCACTGTAGAAATTAGTCATCCAGATGGAAAAATTGAAAATCTCTTCATGGGAAACAGTTTTGGGATTACTCCTACTCTGGATAGGCAGTACATGCGTGGAATTGTCAGGACTAAAGTAGATGATTGTCAGGTAAGCAGATACTCTTGCTTGTTAGATATAAAATGGCTGAAACTTTTTTTTTCTTCCTCAAAATTAAATACCATTATTTGAGGATTAGGAGTTTCCATAGCATGTATTTAATAAAGGAAACTACATTTTATATCTGCCTCAAATATTCGTGAGAGAATGCTAGTTTGTCTGAGCGCTGGAAACCTGACATTAGCAAGCTCAGAGTCTTTATTTTTAAAAAGGAAAGAAGTAGGAACTTCTGAGTTGTTTGTTTCTGACTTACTCCTGCTTTGTGTTTTCTTTGCAAAGTGTCCATTTTGAGAGAAGTAGATGTTCACTTCTCCTTTTTAGAACAGAATGCGGGAGGATTTGACTTCTTTGGTCGTTTTTTGTATAAATTTTTTCACCTTGATTTTTGTTAAGGATTAAAGGAATTGAATGAAAAAGAGCTGATGCCACTTGATTTCTTGCCTTTGTACTCTGCCTTGGTGCACAGTGATATAGTTATGTACTACAGGTTCATTAATTGTCCCCATGTTATTCTTGGACAGTTTGTCTGCATAGCCCAGCAGGATTATTGGAGAATTTTAAATCATGTGGAAAAAAATACCCACAAAGTTGAGGAAGAGGGAGAAATTGTTATGGTGCATGAACACCGTGAACTAGACCGCAGCGGGACCAGGAAAGGACACATTGTAATCAAGGTGGGTATTTTTACTTATTATTCTAGACATTAATAGCTTTACTCAAAGCTTTTATCTTACTTTAATAAAGATTTGAACCACTTTTGAGTAATGCAGGATAATTTGCTAGCATTTTGGAATCTAATTTAAATAAATATCTTGACTCTCTTGCCTTTTTCCAAGCTGGTTTTTTACGTATTTTAATGATGAAAGGATAACTTACTGCCATTTAATATCCATATGAACACATTGTTATTTTTATAATACACTGATCAAAGTATTCTTTCTCAGATTGCATTTTATAATCCATTGATAGTGGGAGTTGGTCTCATCAAAAGATAGCAAGCAATATTTAGGTAAAATTCAAGGACCAACCACAAAAACAAAAGGAGTCTGAGATAAAGATACAGACACTTGCCAAGTCTCCATAGTGTTGATACAGCATTGACTTGTTTGAACCCTGTTTTCTTAATTGAAAAATGAGGGCTAAGTGAGGTAAATCAAAAGCTTTTGCACAATTACAGAGTCTATTTTCCTTCCTCTGAGTCCTGCCATCCCCTACTCTTGCCTTCCTCCTCCTCCTTATCTCTTTGAAAACTTCTGCATATAAAATAGAGCAATTACAGTCAGAATAGAAGACATAATACATAACTATCTCTTTTTAAGTGTGTCATTGTTAGTGGCAAATGGATTGATTTAATAGTAGGAGGGAGATAAATCAGTTCTTCCTTGAGAGTTAGACTCTTCCTCAGACCTGTCTCTTCCTAAACTGTTGAGTATTAAGCTTTGTATGTAGAAAAGATGGACTGCCATAGGCAGGGGTGCAGGGGTAACTCCTGTTTTTAGATAATTTCAAACTTGCAGAAAAGTTGCAAGAACAGTACAGAAAGCTCTCTAAGTGAGATTCTCCTCCTTTTAATATTTCATTGTATTTGTTCCTCTATCATCAGTCTTTTTGAACCATTTGAGAACACCCTGCAAATGTGATGCCTCATCACTCCTAAATATTTCATATATAGTTCCTAAAAAACAAGAACACTTTACTACATAAGCATAATAGAATTCTCCAAGCTAGGAAGAAAACATTTCTAAAATAAAATCATTCAATTCAAAGACCCTGTTAGTTTTTTCACTAATAGTTGCAACATTGTTACTTTTCCATTTCTGATGCTGGATCTCATTCAGGACCATAGTTGCATTTAGTTGTCATATCACTTCCTTCTACTCCAGTTCTTAGTCATGTCCCCAGCAGACTTAAAGAACACAGGTCTTCTGTCTTGTAATATTAACCTTTACCTAGATCTGCCCACCATTTTTCATGACCAAACTCAAGACATGCTTTCAAGAAAGGAATTCCACAGAAATGATGATGTGCTCTTAGTGCATCACATCAAAGGGTACACAATGTTGACCTGTCCCACAACTGATGAAACTAACCTTCATTACCTGGTTCATGTTGGTATGTGTTTGCCAGGTTTCTTCACTATAAAGTCACCATTTGATTCTTTGTAATGAATACCTGGTGGAGAGGTGTTCTGAGATAATGTATTACCCTCAAATATGTAGTTTGTGGATAGTAACAACTAGGTGCAAATCTCTACTCACCAGTTTTTACTACCATTGACTACTCCTGCCTGAAATGGCATTATCTTAGTTCCACAGTTTCTTCTATGTTTATTAGCTGTCATTCTTTAAGGATTAGCTTTCTATTATTTATATTAATATAGATTTATGTGTTATATTACCTTACTATCAGTATTATTCTAATGCTGAAATTGTCTGAGTTGTGGTCAGTGAATCCCTCTTTAGGCTGACTCCTGTATTTTTTTAGAATGTCCCATCCTTTGAGCACTTCCTTATCATCTGACAAATAATAAGACTCATCATGAACTTTTTTTTTTTGCAGTACTGGGCCACTCCACCATCCCTTTTTTTGAAGGGTTTTTTTGAGCTAGAGTCTTGCAAACTACTTGCCCAGGCTGGCTTCAAACCGCCATCCTCCTGATCTCTGCCTCCTGAGTAGTTAGGATTATAGGCATGAGCCACTGGTGCCTGGCTGGTCATAAACATTTTGTACTCCAGCTTGGAAATCATTCATTTCTCCAGAGAGCCCATGATCTTTGTAGTGGAGGATAGCATTTATAAACCAAGATCTAGGCACTCACCATAAAATATATTTTATATAATATTAAATAATATATAATACATAGATATATACATATATATAGCTATTGAGGGAGCATTGTTTTTAGAGCCTCTAAACAGACATAGCTAAGAAATGTATGTATGTACATTTATTGCAAATATATACACATCTTTGAGATTGATGCCTTATCACTTGGCCACTATGCCTGACTATATATACATCTATAACTTTATCTGTATGTATTAAGCACCCATGAGTTCATACTCATAACCTGTGGTCTCTTTGTCCCCTAAATTATATGAAAAACCTTACCCCTGACTTCCTCATACCTTACTAGCAGTGGGTACCTTTAAAAAAAGTTTTGTAAATAAGTGCATTGTTAGTATTGATATATGTTTACTATATACTTACTCTGAACAATAAATTGTTTGAATGAATGCAGCAAATTAAAGTTTGGAGTTTGGGCAACAGTTCGTTTTGTTTTGTTTGTAGTACTGGGGATTGAACCCAGGTCCACCTGCATGCTAGGCAAGTACTCTACCACTTGAGTGGCACACACCCCCACCCATTCTTGTTTATATTTTGCTTTTGAGATCCAATCTTGTTAACTTTGCATGGACCAGCCTCAAAATCACCACTCTCCTGCCTCTGCCTCTTGAATAGCTGGGATTACAGGCATACACCACCACGAACAGTAGGTTTTTATATCACATCAGGTTTATTTCAAAAAAAGTTGCAAAGGCTAATTTTTAATGTTGGTTGAAAAGCTCAAAGAGGAGCAATATTTTCATTTCTTTTAATAAATTTGGAGACAGGTAATCATTTAAAACTCTGAATGTAAAAACTGTCTACATGACTTCTGGTTCCCCCCAAGATGAAAAATTAGCAGGGAGAAACTATCTGTTCAATGAAGTAACTACAGTAAAACTGGCCATTTTAAATTGATGTATTAAGGAGAGAATTTGATGTGGATTAATTTTGAAACAAAGTTTGCTTGCTTGCTCTCTTGCCTCCTTTCTTTTATTTTGTTTGATTCTCGATCTTCCACTTCTGTTATGTGCCTCCATTTGTTACAGCCCACATGAGGTAAGTCAGTAAAAACAGGTATAGCTGGATAAATGCTGTTTGGTCCTTACTCCTTCACCTTTTCTCACTCTAAACTCCTAGGCACTTCTGAATTACAACCTAAAGTGACTACCTCCTCCCAGTGATAAGGGTTTAAAGGAAGCTACTTTTGAAACTTGTCTAAGGGAATGGCTGGCTACAAAGGGGACTAATCAATAGGAGTTACTGGATTCCTCTTTATTTTCTAATCCTTCCTGCCATTTTAGGCAACACCTGAACGTCTCATCATGCATCTAATAGAAGAACATTCCATTGTGGACCCAACTTACATAGAAGATTTCCTGTTAACTTACAGGACATTTCTTGAAAGCCCTTTGGATGTTGGAATCAAGCTGTTGGAATGGTTTAAAATTGACAGCTTAAGGGATAAGGTAGGTTTTATAATACCCAGGGCATAAAAGTGATTTCAGCCTTTTAATTTTATTAACACAGCCTTTTGCAGTTGGTAGGTTAATGTTTATTTTGATGAAAAAAATTCAGTCACCTAAAAACTTAGTACGTCAGCAAAGACATCTCACTGCTTACTTACCTTTATGACAGAGTAGCCTGTTAAAAGTGAACATGAACCTTAAAAGGTGTGATATAGCTGTAAATTTCAGGAAACCTGATAATATTTTAGAATTTGGTAGATCAAAAAATATTATAAAATAGATTAATAAACTTTTTAAAAGAGGGCTTAGATGGTTTTTAAGCCTCAGAATGAAAATATCTTAATTTTTCTGAGTTACAGACTTATAGTCATTTGTTGAAAAGCTTCTCAAATCCTTGTTTATCCCTCCTAATTTAAACTTCCTTTGAGTAATTTTTTGCATTAAACATTGTTTGCTGTCTTAAATTATTTTACCTTATTTCATGGGGTATATTTGCATAGTTAGTGGAAAGACTAGTGATACTTCAGTAAATTGGTAGGAAGTAAGTTGTTTTAAGAAAGTAAAAAGCCTGGTGTGTCTTTGTCATTTATATTTTAAAGGAAAATAAGTTGGATGTGGATAGACCATGAAATTCTATTATTTAGGAGATTAAAGTGTCCAAAACTAGTCTTGCCCTTCCCCACCTCCTTTTCTGGAATTAATTATAGTTATTTCAGTTGCTGAGAAAACAAAGGTATACTTAGAGAATGAACAAAAACATGATGTACAAATAACTAGAAATCCACATGTAAGGAAGTGAATTGGACCCTTATACCATCTACAAAAATTTACTCAAAATAGATGAAAGACCTAAAGTTTAAAACTAATATTCCTAGAAGACAGAAATTTAGTGATGGTTTTTCAGATATGACACGCAAAGTATAAGTAGGAAAAGAAAAAATAGGTATTTTTTCAACTATTATGAATATTACAGGATTTTATCAAAATTACAATCTTTTATGCATCAGAGAACACTATCAGGAGTTAGATGTGTGGCTCAAGTGGTAGAGTTCCTGCCTAGCAAGCATTGTGGCCCTTGATGCCCCTACCCACCCCCAAAAAAAGCACCACTATCAGGAGCACAAAAAAATCACATCTCTGAAAAGAGTAGAACTCTTAAAACTGAACAACAAAAGATAAGCAACACAATTATAAAATGGACAAAGGTCTTCAATAAACATTCCTCCAAAGAAAGTACTTGAATGGCCAGTAAGCACATGTAAAAGATGTCTAACATTATTAGTCATAGGAAAATGAAACCCAAAACTACAGTGAAAGCTGTATGTAATAGTGTATGCCTACAGTTCTAGCACTCAGTTGGCTGAGGCAGGAGATTTTAGAGTTACAGGCTAGCTTAGGCTACGTAGTGAATTTGACATCAGCTTGGACATAGTGAGACCCTAACTCAAAACATAGCACCACAATGAAGTACAACTTCCTACCCACTAAGGATGCTTTTTAAAGAGAAGACAGAAAATAGCAACGTTACCAAGGATACCATCTCTCACACACACATAACATTGATGATGGAAAGGTAAAATGGTATAAACTCTGGGAAACAATATGGCAGTTCTTCAAAAAGTTAAACATAGATCACCCACATAACCCACATTAGAAAATCCTTGTGTGTACTGCGGAAGGCAAAAGGCTTAGCCATGAAGCTCAGTCTTGTTTAGTTCTGGACATGCTTTTGATAAGAAGTGCCTCTTAAAACCATATGCTAAAAAAAGTCAAATACCTAGGTGTAAACCTAACAAAGGATATGAACGACCTTTAAAAGGAAAACTATACACTTCTGAAGAAAGAGATTGAGGAAGACTATAGAAAGTGGAGAGATCTCCCATGCTCATGGATTGGTAAAATCAACATAGTAAAAATGTCAATACTCCCAAAAGTAATCTACACGTTTAATGCAATTCTCATCAAAATTCCAATGGCATTCATTAAAGAGATTGAAAATTCTACCATTAAATTTATCTGGAAACACAAGAGGCCACAAATAGACAAGGCAATACTCAGTCAAAAGAACAATGCAGGAGGTATCACGATACCTGACTTCAAACTATATTACAAAGCAATAACAATAAAAACAGCATGGTACTGGCACAAAAACAGACATGAAGACCAGTGGAACAGAATAGAGGACCCAGATATGAAGCCACACAACTATAACCAACTTGTCTTTGACAAAGGTGCTAAAAATATACGATGGAGAAAAAGCAGCCTCTTCAACAAAAACTGCTGGGAAAATTTGTTAGCAGTCTGCAAAAAAATGAAACTAGATCCATGTATATCACCCTATACCAAGATTAACTCAAAATGGATCAAGGATCTTAATATCAGACCCCAAACTCTTAAGTTGATACAAGAAAGAGTAGGAAATACTCTGGAGTTAGTAGGTATAGGTAAGAACTTTCTCAACGAAACCCCAGCAGCACAGCAACTAAGAGATAGCATAGATAAATGGGACCTCATAAAGCTAAAAAGCTTCTGTTCATCAAAAGAAATGGTCTCTAAACTGAAGAGAACACCCACAGAGTGGGAGAAAATATTTGCCAACTATACATCAGACAAAGGACTGATAACCAGAATATACAGGGAACTTAAAAAACTAAATTCTCCCAAAACTAATGAGCTAATAAAGAAATGGGCAAGTGAACTAAACAGAACTTTCTCAAAAGAAGAAATTCAAATGGCCAAAAAACACATGAAAAAATGCTCACCATCTCTAGCCATAAAGGAAATGCAAATTAAAACCACACTAAGATTCCACCTCACCCCTGTTAGAATAGCCATCATTAGCAACACCACCACCAACAGGTGTTGGCGAGGATGCAGGGGAGAAAGGAACCCTCTTACACTGCTGGTAGGAATGTAAACTAGTGCAACCACTCCGGAAAAAAATTTGGAGGCTACTTAAAAAGCTAAACATTGATCTACCATTTGATCCAGCAACCACTCTTGGGGATATACCCAAAAGAATGTGTCACAGGTTACTCCAGAGGCACCTGCACACCCATGTTTATTGCAGCACTATTCACAATAGCCAAGTTATGGAAACAGCCAAGATGCCCCAGCACTGACGAATGGATTAAGAAAATGTGGTATCTATACACAATGGAATTTTATGCAGCCATGAAGAAGAACGAAATGTTATCATTCGCTGGTAAATGGATGGAATTGGAGAACATCATTCTGAGTGAGGTTAGCCTGGCCCAAAAGACCAAAAATCGTATGTTCTGCCTCATACGCGGACATTAAATCAAGGGCAAACACAACAATGGGATTGAACTTTGATCACAAGATAAAAGCGAGAGCACACAAGGGAGATATGAGGATAGGTAAGACACCTAAAAAATTAGCTAGCATTTGTTGCCCTCAATGCAGAGAAACTAAAGCAGATACCTTAAAAGCAACTGAGGCCAATAGGAAAAGGGGGCCAGGAACTAGAGAAAAGGTG